GCGAGTTCCAGGAGAGCCAGGGCTATACAGAGAAACCCTGCCTTGGGGGCAGGGGAAGGTTCAATGGTGATTTTCTATTTAAATCACATTTGACACCAGAGAGAAAGCCACCTGACCCAGGAGGCCCTTACAGCCGCACACCCAGCACAAAGCAGGAACTTTAATAATCATTTACCGACTGTGGTCTGGCAGGGACAGAGTTCTCAGCCTTCTTCAAGATCTAACTTGCACTCGTGTTTAATGGTTAGACCAACTGGGAGAAGCCTTAGCTTCTACAGAGCCAACTCTGCCTGGCCATCTAGAACCGACAGCAAAGTCCACCCCAGGGAGCTCCCTCGGAGCTAGGGATGAGTTTCCAGGAGCAAAACTGTCTCCTAAGGCCTGGGTTATCGGTTCGCTGCTGGCTTGTTTATGTTTTCGAGACAGGGTTTTTCTATGTAGCCCTGGCTGTCTTTGCTCTAACTCTGTAGACCAGGCTGGCCTTGGGTCTTACAGGTTTATTTCATGTGTGTGAGTGTTCCGTGTGCACTGTCTGTCCACTATGCGTGTGTCTGGTGTCTGTGGCAGTCAGAAGAGGATGTCGGATTCCCTGAAACTGAGTAATACAAGGTTGTGAGCAGCCATGAGGGTGCTGGGAATTGAACCTGGGTCCTCTGCAAGCACACGGGCTCTTAACTGTTGAGCCCCTACTGTTTTGTTCATTTGTTATATTATTTGAGACAAGGTCTCGCTCTGTAGACCAGGCTGGCCTCGAACTCACAGAGATCCGCCTGCCTCTGCCTCCGGAGTGCTGGGATTAAAGGAGTGCACATCAAGCCCAGCTTCTACTATTTTGTTTTAGGACAGGTTTTGCTATGTATCCTAGGCTGGCCTCAAATTTGCATCCTGCTTCAGCCTTTCAAGGACTGTGACTACCAGTATGTGCTTTCAAACTAAGATGTTATTTAAATTAAAGGGACTTGAGTTCTACATATGAACAATTACTTTCACTGAACCATTGGAAATTTGTAATTGTTTTAGTTTTCTTTAAATTGGGGTTAATACACCACGGTCCATGAATAAGACGCCTGCAAAAGTGTGATGTGTGACTTACAATGACAACAGGAGGTATAAGCATCAGGGAAAGCCGGAGAGAAAATGTAAGACCTGTAGCTACGAAGCATCTGCACAGAGTCAGAACTGTAACTCAATTGACAGAATGTTTCTCCAGCATGGATGAAGCCCTGGGTTCGATACCCAGTACCACACAGAGACTGATAGGACAGCACATGCCTAGAACCCTAGAACTCGGGAGGTGGAGGCAGAGGCAGACTGTCCTTAGATACCAAGTTTGAGACTATCCTGGGCTACATAAGACATTTTCCAAAACAACAGTAACAAAAAAGAAACAAACAAAAAGTGAGTTCTAAATGATATTTTAGAGAGGCAAGGCAGGTAAGTTAGAAGGAAAAACTGCAGCAGAAATATGATCCAGAACTCTACCTGCCGGGGGGGTGGTGGCGCACCGCCTTTAATCCCAGCACTGGGAGGCAGAGCCAGGCGGATCTCTGTGAGTTCGAGGCCAGCCTGGTCTACAGAGTGACATCCAGGCAGGCACCAAAATTACTCGGAGAAACCCTGTCTCAAAAAAACAAAACCAAACCAAACAAAGAACCCTCTACCTCCTGACAGATGTGCCAGACACCTGAGCTACAGCTGTGAGCACAGCAGGTTCTATCACTGAACCTTTCTGCTTTGCTCTCCTCTCCAACTGCCAAGCAATGGGCACAGCGCCCCTCGAAAAGCAGATGTCCATTCATTTCATAGGCAAGCTGTAGAGGGAGTGTCCTGGTCAAACACCCCTCATTTCTAGCCGTGCTTTCTGAGATGTCATTCCACGAAAAGCCAGGGAGAACAAACAGGTCTCATTTACCAGTCACACAGACCAAGGGTCCTTACTGAATGAGTGAGTCCTCAGCAAGGCCGTCACAAGACAAGAGCAAACATGTTGACAGAAAAATCCTAAAGACTTTCCCATGCTACAGAAACAGCCGGGGAGTGGCATTCATTAAGACATCTAGTGTCTTCACTCAATGCTACCATGAGGAAGCAGAGCAGATTTCTATTCCTGGATGTATCTGACATAAAAATACCTGACAAACGTAGGTCAGAATCCCGGAGACTGGCGAGTGTGGAAGCTTATGTCTTGGGGCAGGTTCTAATCTTACCAAGTGGCAGGGGTGTTCTCAGGGTCCTTGAGACTCCTCAGGGCAATCCCCACTTGGTGAAAAGCAGCAGCAGCTAAGTGTGGTGGCACACACCTTTAATCTCAGGAGGCAGAGGCAGGCGGAGCTCTGCTGAGTTCCAGGGCAGCCCGCCTGGTCATACAGTGAGTGCCAGGCTAGTTAGGGCTACATAGAGAGACCCTGTCTTAAACAAAACAAATCAACAACTAAATAAATGATAAATAAAGGCAGCATCAAAACAGAGTAAGGTTGGGGGAGGGCTGTCTGGCCATCCCAATGTGCCTCAGGGGGAAACTGGTCCTGATGTTCCTACTTGCTGGATTCGCTGTCACAATAATGACAATTCTCCACCCCCACTCACTTATTTAGTTATTGTTAAAGACACAGGGTCTGTATTGCCCTAAGTGGTCCCAACTCCTGTCTCAAATTATTCTCCAGCCTCAAATCTGGGCAGCTGGGACTAGGAGCATGGACGGCTCTGCTAGGCTTTAAAGTGCAGCCTGTAAAGGGTGGAAAGTGCCCAACAGATGAGAAAGTCCACACAAGTCTCTGGGTGTGGCCTTTCATTCTAGTCCAGAAGCAATTTTCTTCATGGCTCACATGTCTTTAGTAACAATGACCTGAAGAAAAATGTTTTCTTTTCTTCATTTTGACATTTCTTGTTTGTCTTGCTAAGGAGTTCACGCATGTCTCTGCATGTGCTTGAGCATGTGTTCTGTCTGTAAACAGACCTGTGGCTACCTTGAAAGGCACCTTCTTCAGAGTCTGACACTGCATGCTGCTGGGCTGCGGGTCTCTGTGTTAATTACCATCCCCTACAATGAGAAGCTTCTCTAATGAAGGCTGAGCAACACACTGATCTATGGGTACAGTAGTCTATCATTAGGAGTCATTTTACTGCTCCGTTCATTTGGCAGAATAACAGGGGTAGGTTTTCCCCTCGGGCCCATGACCCACCTAGTCTCAGGTTCTTGCTTTCATTAATACTATCTCAGTCAGGATTGGGGTGTCTTTATCACACCTCTCCCCTCAAGGCTTAGGATCTATGTGGAAGAAGGGGCAGAAAGATGATAAGAGTCAGGGGTGATGAAGGATTTTAAGGATAAGACATTTCCTGGACACAGCAGGGCTGATGTCCACATGAACTCACAAAGACTGTGACAGTCCAGTAAGACCTGCATAAGCTCAAGCTAGACAAAATCCCAGCACTGAGAAGGAGAAATGGACGCAAAGGCCCACCACTAACCAAGAAGCTCTGACTGAGAGCTGCTGGGAGAGGGAAAATTCTTCACTGGGGTGACACTGGGCACACCAACCCCGGCCAGGGCTGGCCTCACGCTCAGGAGTGACGGGCTCCATGTTTTCAGTGGCTTCTCCCTCTCTCTCCCTTCTTTCTTCTCCCCATCCTTTTCTCTTTCACTAAAGACAAAGAACATGAAGTAGGGTGGGTAGGGAGGGGAAGATCTGGGAGGAGCTTGGCAACAGAAAAGAGTACAATAAAAAACATACTGTATGAAATTCTCAGAGAGTTAGAGCTGCAGAGATGCTCAGTGGTTAAGAGCACTTGTTCTTGCAGAGGCCCTGGGTTCAGTTCCCAGCACCCACATAACAGCCCACATCTCTCCATAACTCCAGGGAACCCAACGCCCTCTTTGGACTTCTGAGAGTACCAGGCACACACTTGGTAGACATGTATATATGCATGCAAAACCTTTATATGCATGTCTTTTTCTTTCTCTCTTAGGGCACCCGTTTTACCTAGTGGCCAAACAGACTGTCAGGCGGCATGGTGCTGACTCAGAGTTTCTGAGGTCAAACAGTCAGTGATCCAAAGTCCCTCTGCTTATTAGGTTTAAATTTATTTTTCTTTATTTTTGAGACAAAGTCTTATTATATACAGCCTACGTTAATTTCCAACTCTCAATCCTCCTGCCTCAGCCTTCTCAATGCTGGGATGAAAAGAATGATGATTCCCAGTTTAAAATAGTTTTTGTTTTCCTTAGGACAGTGGAATGAGCGAGTCTAAAATAAAAAGGATATATTCTTAACAAATGCCTATTATTACTAACCATACAATGTGGTATTCTATTAAAGATGTTTTTTCAAATGTGTCAAACTCAACTACTTCTTACCTGCAATTGTCTTCGTTATAATTTTACACAGGGCTGGAAGTAGCTCAGTGGTACTGTACCTGCCTAGCATGTGCTAGGCCCTGGGTTTGACCCCCAAGCACCATGAAAGGAAAAGAAATTATGTTAATTTACCTCATGAATGCTAGAAGATTATGCTAAAAGGTTCAATGAAGTCTATTTTATGTTTAAAGCACAAAATTTCAGATGTTAAAATTATTTGGTAACAAATAAATGAAAGGCTCAAAACAATAACCCCCAAGTTCTCCCCATGGCCTGCCTCCTATTCCGGTCCTGAGGCGGTCGGGGTCAGGAGGCAGCAGCCCAGGCCCACACTGCAGAGGCACACCTGCTGAAGACACATTTAATTTAACAGAGCAAAGAGATGGCTTCTTAAAGGTCCTGTGGTAGCTTACCATTTCAGTGGCACCTGAAAAGACAAGGGACAAGCTCCTCTCTAATTGCTCCAACAGTTCAAAGACAACAGAGCGTCAGAGTTTGGATGGTGCTGCAAATTTCCTCTAGGGACAAGGAGGAATGTGATTTCATGAATGTTCGTTTTTTGTTTTTTGTTTTGGCTAGAGAGGCAGAGCGAGAGGAGGGAATGAGGAGAGAAGAATAAAAACTAATTTTCCAGGCAGGGAAATACTTATAAAACCTTTTATGTCAAAGTTAGGATTTTAAAACATCACATACTAATGCAAAATGAAGTAGCACCTGTAGGATTGAAGGAAATGCTGCCATTGCTTAAATGCTTTAAATATCCTTAAAAGATTGAGGAAAAAAAGATGAAGTACATTCTCCAGAGAACAAATGTATTTCAAAATAAAAACTGTATTTTTGGTTGTTTTTTTTTTTTCCAGTTTTTTGCTTTTGTACAAGATTTCATAGTTATAATACCTTATACAGAGATGGGATTGACCTCTGCTCTCCTCCAGTGTCACTGCAAGTCCACATGTTCAGGCTATAGTCCCCAACATTAGGTTCCGATCAATATATTACCACGTTTGATCTAAATATAGATACATTATATAATATTTATCTCTGGGAAAAATCAAATTTTAATATGCAAATGTGTCTATAATACAGCAATGGAAAAAGCTACAGTAGGCACACAACCTACGACTCAGAGGCGATGAGTTCTAATGCTCCTCTAGTGTGACCGAGTGTTTAAAATAGTCAGTAAGAAGGTTTATTTATATGTGCACTTGTGTCCACCTGCTCCCAAGTACTGTACATGTCTACTGACAAGCTGGGAAGTTATAGGTGCAGCCCTCAAGAAATTGTTAAGTTACTAAAAAAAGAAACAATTAGGCTCTATTGGACATGGAAAACACTCACAAAATTTCCAATTTTAAATTTCACAGCAGTAGGAAAATATTAAAAATAATTTCTGTATATACATATAGGTATATGTATATATTGAATTACACATATGCCTCTCATTATCAGTACAATTCAAGTGGAGACATTTTGGTGAGTTATTTTCCCATTAAATCATCACTATGCCAAAATTTAAAAATATTTTATTACATCATTAAAATAATTCGCTTACCATATCAACAGCTTACACTGTTTTTTTTTTTTTGTTTTTTTTTTAAGATTTTTTTTTTAAACTCTTCGTAACTAAATTCCCTGACCCCTAGTGTTAGTCCTCTATTTAAATTAAAACCTGGTCTTCTTTGATACTCAGAAACTCAGGAAACTCAGATAAAATCATATCTGTTTTCAAAATTCTATCCATCAAATAAATTTTATTACCTGATTTATCAGAGAAATATCTCAGCTCTGAGCATGTGTACCTAAATTGTTCTCCCTATAATAAACAGGTAAGGAAAATACCCTAAAATAGATGGTTGTGGCTGTTGTGGTGTTATAGGACATATAATACATGATGACTAAGTGTCTGATAGAGATTTTTCAGAGACACCTCCCCATAGAAACTAACTTTAGAGACAAACCATTTATTTTTCACTCTGGTATAAATTGATATATATGTATGTATGTATGTACATACACATAAATATAAAACAAAACTAGTACTAAGAATCTGTTTATGAGTGAAAAATGGGTTAATCTGCTTAATTTGTACTGAACAATTCAATCATTTGGGGTACAAACAAAAAAATCAGTGCATTCATTGACTCCAAAGTCAGGTACTCAAGCATACACTGAAAGAACTCCCTTCAAGGTCACAGGCATTGTACAGCAAGAATGTATGTATGCTGATGCGATTCCTACTAGGGCAGAGCAGACGGCACTTGGCTTGCGTTTAAGATAGCTTTGTGAAAGAAATGTATCATATAAAGAAATGCATGTTTGCTAAATGTCTTAAAATTACATCAAAACAACACTAAAACCTGTTCTCCGAGAAGAGCCTGTTGAAGGTATTTCCCGTTTTGAAATGCCTAGTTAACAGTTCAAAATATTGCCTTGTGAAGTTTGAATAAAGACATGGTTTCGGTGAAGACCCATCTGCCACAGTCACAATTTAGATACGGTCCTCTGATTGACTGCTAGGTGGAAGTGGACCTCCTTGAAATCAGCCATACACCTTAAAATTATCTATAAGAAACAGTGCCCCCATAACCATTATTTTTCAGAAACTGAAATTCATTGATCACTCAGAAAAGATTTCTTGCCAAATATATAAATAAATGTAACTGCATATTTTCTGTAAATATACTTAACATTGCTAGCCTAAACCGCCAAGGACAGACTGCTGTATTTCAGTTCTGTGTGTCAAATTTACTATAAATTCAAAAAGAAAAATATCTGAGGGACTCAGCTGCCTTTGTTAATTGTCTTTAAAATGTGTAATAAAATGGGAGACAGTATCTTTTCATAAATACCAGAATCAATATGGAAAAGTAAACTGTAGAGCAGACAAGATCGGAGAACAGCGGAGTGTACCAGAGCAGTCACTAGAGTGAGACACTCCTAGTACAAAAAGGAAGAACTCCAGACACCCATTTACAGTGATTTTCAATTAAGATGTAGCTCTCTCCCACACCTGGCAAGAATTAATTGGTAATGGCCCTGCTTCTCAGCAGTGCAAAAATATCCTGAGAAATTATCCAGATAACAACAAAAGACAGGGCTTTCAGTACTAAGTTTTTGCATAAAACACAGCTGTAGATATCATAAATAAATTAATTTAAAAAGCAGATAATCTTCACTGTGTTGAACAAAAAAAAAAAAAAAAAGAGGAGAAAGGACCCAAACATTGTTAATTCTCCCATTGGCTAATATCAGGGGGTAAAAGATTGCATTAAGTGTCCACTTATAACTTTCCAGTTAACTATGGCCAATATACATGGAGGTAATTTGTAGTTCAAGTTTTTCATGTCTTTTTTTCCCCAACTAGCTACAAGCTAAATTCTAAAATTTATACTGAAATATACAATTCCAATTTTCAAAACACCCTCCTCCTGGAGGAAATGATATTCAAAAAATTTTGTGCAATCTTGGTGCAGAGCCCCAACGGTCCTATGAAGACAGACAGTATCTTTTCATCAGTTGGCACTGAGATTTCATTCTCCTTAGCTGCATTCTAGTAGTTTGGCCAAATTATCTCGTAATTCTGTGAGTTCAAATATTTTTCCATCCAGGATTTCTAAGAGCGTCTTCAGGTTATTGCGGAAAGCCTCCTGCTCGCTCTGGCTCTTCTCCAGGCGCTGCTCTAGGTCAGACAGCTGGCCCTCCAGGTCTTTATTTCGAATTTCAACTTCCTTCAGAAACAAAAGTCAACATACACGCACATGTCAGTTCATTGTTTAGATAATACAACTTCTGCTGTCCCTAGTATCTTTTAATAAGTCTGAGCCTCTGACACTCAATTTCACACAACTTAAGGAGATTGGGACTCAGCCACCTCAGAGAGCCATGCTTGACTATGAACACACCTGTCCTCCCCACAACAAAGGGCTACTACCCACTGTTTCACTCCAGGAAAGGCTTCAGGCCCTTCTCAGGACAGGCAGAACCCTCAGGTGGGTGTCTGAGGATTATTTACATCTCACTTTTGTTGATCTTTGTTACTGAGGAACCGGGTGAGAGCAGGCAGAGACAGGAGAAAGCAGGTTCTCCTAACCGGTAACTCTAAAGAAAGAGTTCAAAGAAAAGCAACACCCTAAAATGAGATTGTAAGATTGTCTTATACTGATCCTGATCCTGTGTTCAGGATCAAAGGAATGACTGTGTAAGAATACACAACTGCTCAACTCACAAAGCTATGATGAAGATTCAGTAACTGCATGTATCAGAAGTATAAAGCTGACAATTCCAGGCTGACAATCCAGGAAGGAGAAAAATGACAAAAAGAAAGCAAAATTTTGTGACAATACAAGAATGTTTAAAATTTTCGATATAGTCTAAATGCCAGCACACTGAGGATTACTTAGGAATTATAAATGGCTTTTCACCATGTTTCTAAGCATGACAAATATTATATAATGAAGCAAGTCCAAAAAAAATCAAAATTACATGAGTAATGATTTAGCTTTAGTTTTAAAAATCAAATTTAGAGCTGGAGAGATGGCTCAGTGGTTAAGAGCACTGGCTGCTCTTCTAGACCTGGATTCAATTCCCAGCATCCATGATAGCTCACAGCCTCCTGTAACTCTAGTTCCAGGGGATCTGATGCCCTCTTCTGGCCTCCGAAGGCACATACATGCAGAAAAATCATGCATACACATAAAAAAGGAAAGAATTTTGGTGTTTGAATTATGAGTATCTTTTTCTCCACATTAACTTTTCTCACAATCTTCTCAAAAATGAAAGTTTTTAGGACCAAAAAGATAGTTCAACAAGTAAAGACACTTGCTCCCCAAACTCACAACTTAAGCTGGCATCACAGCGGCGCACGCCTTTAGTCCAGCACTCGGGAGGCAGAGGCAGGCGGATCTCTGTGAGTCACGGCCAGCCTGGTCTCCAGAGGAAGTGTCAGGACAGCCAGAGCTACACAGAGAGACCCTGTCACCACCACCACCACCACCACCACCACCACCACCACCACCACCACCACCACAACAACAGAAGACTCACAACTCGAGTTTAATGCCCAGGACACACATGGTGGAAGGAGAGGAGGACCCCCAAAGCTGTCCTCTGACCCCCACACAGTCACCGGGCACATACACACTAAGTATATAAATGGAATAAAGACATTCAAGTCTTGAGAAAAAGAACTGGGTACACTTGAAAACATTAAAGAAAGTAACAGATGATAATTCTGAACATAATCATGTGATTTGACGGTGATAATTCTCAAGCAACATTACAACACTCCCCAGATACACTGCGAAGTGTGGGAGAATTAAGAGAGAAACAGAACACGTATAATTTGTAAACGAAGAATGTAAAGACCCAATCTAATCTCAAAGTATTTGCTAGGTGAAGATAACTAATAAAGAATCAGAAATTAGTATTAGAAATTCGGAAGCTACATCCATGGAGGCTGTAAACTCTCAGGGAGGAACAGGTCCTGTGATCAGGGGTACAGTTCCACTCATGACTGCACAGAGCGCTCCCCTGCACTTCAGCAACAAGCTTAGGGACAGAATGTTTCCAGCTACAGAAATAGACCGAACATCATCCGCCGTCACGTCCACTTGACAGCCGTAGCCCAGTCTGCCCTCTACAGTCTTCTTAGACAAGAAAGGCTCCCTTGTTCTTCCTGCCAACCAGCAAAACACGCCAACATTTGACTGCAACCACACAAAACACCACCCCCTCAGTTCAACAGCATTATACTCGGTAGAGTAGATGTCCAACTCCAAGATGTGCTCTGTAGACTTGACTAGTTCAGTAACGGACTAGCGCAGCACAATGCAGATGGCCCCGATCTATTTTTAGATGGGGAGAATATGATTGTGGGGTGAGAAGAGACAACCTAGAGGACAGAGGTCAACTGGCTCTGACTGAAGTCACAGGCAGCACTTCCCAGCCTGTGCACACTCGGCAACCCCTCTGACCTTTGCTTCTCTCCAAGGCTGTCCTGCTGTCATTTTGTCTATTCATTTCCTGTCTATCCAGGCACCCGAGGAGCACCAACCTCACGGTGTAGCAAAAAAGAAAAGCACTTTATAGGCCAGAATCTCAAATTCCTTTCAGAGTGCTTGAAAGGCTCCAAAATGAAAGTACAAAATTCTACTGGGCAAAGGTGGTTAGCTACTCAAACACTAGAGAAAAATTAAAAATTATATAATTATAACCACTGCCAGGTATGGTTAATTTTCTCTACATTTAAATCCTGCACCATTCAATCTAAATAAAAGCCATACAAAAACTGTCTTAAGGACACCTGCTTCAAAGCTTATACTTAAGATATTAAGTATATAATTAAGATATATTAATGTTTTATTAGACCTTTACACATAACAAGAACATTTAAATCAACAAGAGCAGCATCAATAACTCATTTCTACACAGAAAAAAAATGGGTAAAAGAAATGTATGCATTTTGGACAAGTTATTTAACAATTAGTGTCAGACATCTTCTATTAGGCACTGGGAATAAAATACTCAGCAAAGGTAAAATGGTCCCTGTTTAATGCAACATGTTTTCTAGAGGAAGATATTGGCAATAAAGAAGTGGAAAAACTTTCTGAATAGACAAGGTAATAAGAGTTTGTACACTGACATCTGCCAGTCATCCTCCACAAACCACATGAATATACAATGACAATAAAGCTGTGAAAATGTCAGGACTTGGATATTGCTAAAGACAGAACAGAAGCATCAAACCGCTGGCAGTCAGAGAACCTACGCAACAGCTTCGCAGACCTGTTTCTCAAGCTGCCACTCTAATCCTTTCCAGAGGGCACTGTGAAGAGGAAGACCTCTGTGAATGCCCACACCCAGAAACCAACGGCCTGGTAGACAGACCCGAGCAGACTGTACATTTGCGGGACTTAATGTATGTGAAAGCTGGAGAGGCAGCCTTGGCAAGGCAAAGAGACTAAAAGGCAAGGAGCCTTTAGGAACAGCAAAGGATAAAGATGACAAAAACCTCTAAGTTCTTATTATGTAAAAAATAAATAAATAAAACACAGAAGCACACATAACCTGTTGACTATTGCCCCTCAAAAGAAGGTGTTTGAACTACGAATCTATAAATCACCTTAAACTGCCATTCCGTCCACAAAAATGCAAAGGTATAAAACATGCATTTATAAAATGATCAATAGAAAATACTAAAAAGAATTCAGTAAAACAACCACAAAAAATTCCCCCAACCAATTACAAAACAGAAAAAAATCTTAACATCATATTCCATGCTGAGCTAAGGTTTACATAAAAGGATTCAAAAAGGAGCTTGAATTAGGTACCCCAAATTGAAGACACGGGGCTGGAGAGATGGCTCAGCGATTAAGAGCGCTGGCTGCTCTTCAAAGGGCCTGGGTTTGGTCCCCAGACCCCACAGCAGCTGACAACTGTCTGCAACTCCAGCTCCAGAGTACTCCATGCCCTCCACTGGCATGTGAGGGAACTGAGAACACGTGACACACAGGCAGGATGTGCAGGCAAAATACCCATAAATGTAGAATAAAAACAAGTGGATCAAAAAATAACAACAAAAATCTCAAAAAACTAAGGATGCTACACTGAAAAACAGGAGAGTTGATTAAACTGATGAAAGAAACGGGGGACAAAAGAGGAAAAAAAAAGCCCCATCAGAAGTGAAGTATAAGGTCCCCACTAAAATAAAAAAACCAAAACCAAAACAGTTTGTATTAACACTTATAAATTCATTCATTATTCCGTAATTATATAAAAAAAAAATCAAGAGAATGAAAGCAAATTAAGAAAGGAAAACCAGAAAAAGACTGAAAGAGAAGACAAGAAAATTCACTTGATATTAGATATGTTGCAGGAGAAATTAACATATAAGGACAAATACTTAAATTTATGTGTGAAACATTTTCTTAACTTTTTTGGCACTGGCGATGTCTAGAGAAACCTAAGTGAGGCTCTCTCTGGCACTGAGCTCAGAGCCTACAAGAAGCAAGAGATAAATATGTACGTGAATATACATACACTATGCTGCTGTTGCTATCATTTGACACAGGGTCTCATTATGGAGCCCTACATGGCCTCTAATTTGTGACATAGACCAGGTTGGCCTTGAACTCACAGAAATATGCTGGACTCAGGATTAAGGGTGTACATCACACCTTGCTGGATAAGGAAATTAAAATGATCCACTAATAGTTGAGTAATTGAAAAATGACTTTCAACAATCACTTTGAAAAATATCTTGGTTAAAAAAAATTTTTTTTTTTTTGAAAATAAAAGAAAAATCCTCACAGCACTTGAGCAAACAAAGCCCCAAACTTATTACGGCAAGAGAATCAGAATTATAAGGAGACTTCTCAAGAACAACACATAGATGTCAAACATGTTCTTAACTGGAACAGTCAGAGCAGTTAAAAGCACGGGCTGCTCTTCCAAAGGACACAGGTTTGATTCCAGCACCCGCACAGTGGCTCACAACCATCTCTAACTCCAGCCCCCTTTATGGATCCCATGGGCACTGGGTGTACACATGTGGGACACAGACTACACGCAGGTGAAATGTAAAATATATATAAAGTGACATAAAATAGGGCTGTAACAAGAGTTGAGACTGGTGAGTGCTATAATTTGAGTTTGCCTCCCTAAAATTCAGGTGCCAAAACTTCACAGCCGATGTGATGGCAGCTGACTATTGAGAGATCTAAAAAGAAGGGTTGGAGAGATGGCTCAGCAGTTAAGAGCAGAATTTCATTCACAGTTCCCACATCAGGCGACTCAAAACTTCCTGTAACTCCAGCTCCAGAGGAGCTGAAGCCCTCTTCTGGCTTCCATGGGAGCCTGCACATATGTGGTGTATACACACACACACACACACACACACACACACACACACACACACACACACACACACACACACACATCTTTAAAATAAAGAGGAAAAAAAGAGCAATCTAGAAAGAAAAAGGAATCTAGGGAGATTATCACTAGCTCCATAGGCTCTAAAAAGCCATTAAGAAAATTTAACATTTACTCTTCGTTTAAAAACAAAAACAAAAAACAAACAAAACAGCTGGGTGGTGGTGGTGCACACCTTTAATCCCAGCACTCGGGAGGCAGAGGCAGGCAGATCTCTGTGAGTTCGAGGCCAGCCTGGGCTACAGAGTGAGTTCCAGGACAGGCTCCAAAGCTACACAGAGAAACCCTGTCTCAAAAAACCAAAAAACCAAACCAAACCAAAACAAAGCAAAAAACTCAAGAAAATAAGAATTAAAAATATGTGTATTTTAGGGTTAAAACCAGTATTCTCTAAGCATATTGTGGTGGTCTGAATGAGAATGGCCCCATAGGGCTCATATATGTGAATCCTGGTTCTTAGTCTGTGGAACTGTTTTGGGAAGGGTTAGGAGGTACAGCCTTGTTGGAGGCAGTATGTCACTGGGGGTGGCATTTGAGGTTTCAAAAGCCCAGGTAGGGGATGGAGCTGTTTCATGCAAGGAGCCTGTTTTCTTTTCCCCTTTTCCTAGAGACAAGGTCTCTCTGTGTAGCCCTGGCTATCCTGGAACTCATACAGAGACCAGGCCTCAAACTCACAGAAATCCTTCTGCCCCTGCCTCCTGAGTGCTGAGATTAAGGTATATGAAACTATGCCTGGCCAAGTCTCCTTTTTGAAGGGGCACCTCTGTTGCAGAGTTTGGTGGTAGAGGACAGCGGCATTAGAGTTGGACTGACTTGATCTAAATATGGGTTGGACAAGTTACTTTTCTTCAAGCCCTTGTTCCTCTGCATTGAACTGTGATACTCTGATATAATATGAAGAGTGCTTGGCACAGCACCTATACACAGCAAGTACTGAATGAAAATTGCTGAGTCTTCTTATAAACTGGTCCTCCCCCTAATCCTTGGCTTCCAGGTTCCTCTTCAAGCCTCTGACAAACTCCACACTTTATGAACACACTTGTTTCTTTTCTAAAGTGCTTCTAACCCTTCTTGAGGCGGCTAGCTTAAGCTGGCAAAAGGCAGCTTAGTAATGAATTTTGAAAAATCTTCCTACATCTGACTCCCACCAACACAGGACATATATTGTCAACTAGAATCAGGAAGTATGCAGAAAAAAAGTGGGCAAAATTGATTTAAGGCTGATGAAAGGGAAAAGTCAATGACTTTTGTTTTATTAGAACACAAGGATGCCAGATTTCAGACAGTAGCTCAGCACATAAAACACCAGCAGGTCCCTACACTAAATGAAATCCATCAGAGATGTTTTCTGTTAGGTTTAGGGTACCTTTTAATGATAAAAGCAGAAATTTCCAAAGTACTATGCTGACGACAGTTAATGAATGGCCCCCAATGATTACAAACTACCCAAATGCAGTAATCGAGGAATGTCCAGAACATTGAACATTAGGCATGAATCAGAGGTACTAGAAAAGAAATAAAAATGGGAGCTCAGAAACGTCCTTCTGATGTTGAAGAATGACTAATACTTTCTGTGTAGAGTCAACAAACATTTTTACTTATCTTACCTGTAGTTTCTGAGTCAGAGAGTCCCTCTGTTCTTGGAGTTCTCTGGCATTATCAATTTCTTGTTTTAGTCTTTCGATTTCCTGGAAAAAGTAAAGTAAGGTCTTTCACAACATTTAACTTATAATAAGGAAAAGGAAGAACTAATTTTCCCCTGAAATTATTTCCTAGTTCTGAGGAAAAGAGTAATTAAAAAGGTGCCCTTTATTTACTTTCAGAGGGGATATATGTCTGCATAGCTGTTACCTGGAACAGGGTGAGGCTCCTTTCTTTCTTTCTTGGAGGTGGGGCAGGGTCTCACAATGTACTCCATTCCTTGAACTCACTACATAGCAAAAGCTGGCTTCAACTCAAGATCTTCCTAGGCGTGGGACTAAGGTGCAATATCCTATGTCCAGTCCAGAATGATTTTTTTTCAGCAAGTATAATCTGATGGTTTAGCATAGTGCTAAATAGTTTCAAGTTTGAGATACAATTTTTCCTTTGGTATATAAAATAGCTCTTTTTGACTAGAAACCAAAAAAGCAACAACTTGCAAAAATTCATTTAATCTCTAATGGTTTCCTGTTGATTATATAAATACAACTCTCATACAAAAGGCAACCATAGTTCAACACAGTTAATAATAACAGAAACGTGAGTGGGGAAAACGTGAGCAAGCTTCCTAACAGTCAATAAGTTTCATCTTAAAGACTGACAACCTCACGTCTCTGCAGACCATACCACAGACCTGCCCATCTACGGCGTTGTACACAACGCTGTCTGGACCGCAGATGACTGGGGAGTGGGCCTACCTCTTCCTTCCCTTTCAGCGTCTCTTCCAGCTCTTGCACTGTCTGGTTCAGCTCTGCCTTGTGCGTGTGCACAGCATTTGCTTGACTACTAACACATTCGAGCTCAGTGACCTGCAATTAAATGAGAACACCGTTAAATTAAGTGGCAATTTCAAAGGGTTTCTTGAAGTCATAGTAAGCCCCTGAGAAGTTAATGAATTTTGAATTACTATATGAAAGACTATTAATATTCTCAGCATAAAATAAATTCTTTAAAGATAAATATTTAAGGCAATGGCAAAAACCAAAGGATTATTAGATAGTATGGGGACAATGTATTATTTAGTGCTGGTCAGAGCCTGATTAGAGAAAACAAGTGATAATCACTACAAGGAATTCCTAAGGAATGTTCCTTAACATTTGTACAAGTACAGCTATGACTGTCCGCTTCCCCCATTTGTAGTCTCAGGGAAATACGGGTTCTGAAACTGGCCTTGCACAAGTAAGCTTTATTTTTCAAAAATAATTTCAAAATACGAGAGAATCTGAAATGAAAGATATGCTCAAGAACACCTAAAAACTTGGATATTAGAATGACTTCATGTCAACTGTGCCTCTTATGGGAAAGAGAACAGTTCTTCAGTCACTAAGAATTTACCAAGAGCCAACAAGTAATATTACTTTTTAACGAGCACTTGACACCTTTTTAAGATAATGGGAAAGGTCAGTGTCCTTCAAAGTCATCCACCCGTTAATATAAGAAGAAATCATGTCCACATTCACAGACACCCTACCATAATTTCTCATATGCCACTCTCTCAAAGTCCTGCTGACTAGGATAAGACAAACTTGCCTTGCGCTTTCAAAACAGCAATCACCCTCTGTATTCTAGAAGTGTTTCTCCTTCACATCCCAGCTTCCTTTCTACTTAGGTTCTAATATACTTCCTTATATAGACCTTATTTACTAGGTCTGAACAAATGCAATGTTCCTGCAGTGGATTTAATTACAACTGTGGTCTCTGTTCTTAGATATTCTGGAACTGCTAACAAATTAATCTTTCATTGTATGACATTCAAAGTCTTCCAGTTGCTTTTTATAATATTAAATCTTTTTTCTTTTTCTTTTCACTAATGAGGATTGAACCCAGGACCTTTTACATGTGAAGCAAGCACTGTACCACTGGGCTGCATCCCAGACCACAGGGGTAAATTAACCCTAGGGTCTTTCATTCATTGGCTGCAGCCTCTTTTGGTTAAGATGTACAATTCTAACTCTAACAGCAGGCAACTCTCTTTGACCTAAGAACAAATGGTGTTCACGTCCATCTTCTTGACTCAACTAGAAAGTCCTGTGAAGACCATCCTGATCTTAACAGGTGGTCAACTCAGCACCTATCTTCTGAAAGACAATCCCTTCTGCTGGAACCCTCAAAGCTCTCTTCTCCCTTGCTCACAATATGGAGCAGCTGGTACAGAATTATTGGGAATGGGTTAGAGACAGCTCAGCAGGAAAAGCAAGTGCCACACATACCTGACAGTCGGAGTGCAGTCCCTAAAACCTCAACACGGCAGTCACGGCCCAAACCCACCCAAAATTACATGCAGACATTTTACACACACCACACACACACACACACACACACACACACACACACACTAAAAACTCTTCAGAATCATTTATTTATTGTTTAATAAACAACAGTTGTCTCTGTTTGAATAACTAAAAATGTCTTAAAGGGAATTTCAGTGCTGATAAAAATGGAATGGCTTTATTGAACTACCTTTCCTACAGATAAAAAAAACAAAATACAAACAACCTGTGAGCAAAATGGACAAAAGACAACAAACAAACCATAACAACAAACACAACAACAACAAAACCCCCAGACAGCCAACTCTAGAAAAGCAGTCACATTAGGTGCCAATGACTCCCACATCTGTCTAAAGGCACTTGCTAGTACAGCTGCACGGCTCGATGAACTCAAGATAAAACCTTTAGCTTTACTTTCCTGAGGAGTCCAAGCATTTTGGGACTCCTCAGAATAGCTGGAAGAGCTAGACATTGGGGGAGTTAAATAAAAGGCAAACAGATCTCCCACAAATCTTTAGTGGACTCCACAGCTGAATATGCCCAGTTAAATGGCCAGGGAGTGCAGGGGGTGGTGGGGGGGTGAGGGGTAGTGGGGGGTGAGGGGTAGTGGGGGGCCAGGGGTAGTGGGGGGTCAGGGGTAGGCACAGGAAGATAAAAACTGGACACTGGAAGGACTGAGGGTGGTGGTATTGGCCATAGAGAAGGCAGTTCGAAATCGTGTCAGATGAATGAGGCCTTGAAAATACTTCATGCTTCCTGTGACACCTCAAGAAGGTTACATCTTAGGGAGAAAACTGCCTGGGACCAGACCAAGTGATTTTCCCTCGGACAAGTGAAAATTAAAATAGACTAAATTCAAGGGATTTATTGCCTGATAGTAATAATAATAATAATAATAATAATAATAATAATAATATAATAATAAAAACTCTCCAAAGGAACTAGAAGGTTTTATAAAAGCTCACTTATAATGTCCAATATGTATCTCAAAATGACTGTGTATGTGGTAACAGGCAATGGAACCAGTGGTCGATAAACCATCTAAAGTAAAGCTGAGATAATCTGCTGCCGGTATACCCAGAGCCAAACAATCCTAAAGAACTGATACCAGCTACGAGGAAATGACGGCAAGCGCAGTCTACAGAAGAGAGCGCACTGGATGCTACAGATGTGTGCCCAAAGACTGCAGAATCCCGCCTCACTTCTCAGTGTTAGGACTACAGGCGCACACTTCTTTTCATAAATGCTCTAATATTCTGACTGCTACAAAAATTCTCCTGGGCAAGGATTACACAGTAAGAGAACATCCTAGCTCTTCAATGGGTTTTTACTGCCAGTGATTTGTCATAAGTTAGGTTTCCACTGTGATAAAAAGCTAACAAGAGTATCTTACTCATCATTAGCTATATTCATGTATTATAAACAGAGCTCCACAACTTTTCATCTCACAAACGTTAATTTCTATACACAGGAGAGGACAGTGTCTGTTCTAACTTTGTCCCCTTGTCTCTATCCCCCTTCCTATTTACAGCTCTGCCATTTTGGCACACAGCTAATTGGCACAGTTGAAACTACAATCAGTTCATTTGTTTATGAAAGCCACATAATCTTCATTCTCATTAAACTCTGAGGAATATTTTTCTTGAGCCAGTAAAGCAGGAAACTTAGCTCATATATATTCCTGATAAGCAAAGAATTTCCCTAGAAGATTCCCGTGCGCTGCGTCTACCTGCGAATTTCCCTTCCCCGCGGAAACCTTTTCCAGCCGCGCTGGCGCAGCCCTGCCCTTACCCGCTTGTGCAGCCGCTCTGCTTCCTCCTGATAGGCGGCCAGCTGCTGCTTCCATTGCTTCACGTTGGCAGTGGACTCCAGCAGGGCTGCGGTGAGTTTGGCGTTGTTTCCTTTGAGGGTAGCTAGTTCAGCCTCCCAGTGTTTGCTGATTGCTGAACTAAAACAAAATAAGGAGAAAATGGTATCATTTCACTGAGTACTGTTTCTGGATGGACAACAATATTTAGTTCTATTATCAAGGTTATAGTCTAAGAATGTTTTCAGACAACCCCAAACAATAAAAACAAAAAGTGCTTCTAGAATGGGGTACGTTTAATGGGTAAATGTGATACACATATATTAACATACATTGTACACATATAATATACGCAAAGCTGAAAAGAATACCTAACAATGTGGCATACTGTTTAAAAGCACCAAAGTCTACGATAGTCTCATTCCTCGGTGGGGACAGATGAGGATGCTTACGTGATAGAAAGGTTGGAACAGGTGGTGCAGTTTTTTTCTTTTTTAATTACTGACTTGTATCTTTATATTAAGAATTCTTAAATGCTCAGATATAAAAATTTATTATAATAATTATAATAAAATGATTTCATATGATATGCTAGATCAAGAAATTCATTCTAATAACTATTACAAAAGCAATTCTACTCATTTGGAAGACCCCTTTCGGATAATTACTTTGTTAACTTTCCAATGGAGAATTGTCTTGTTTAAAAGAAAACTATGGTTTCTCTTTTTCATTATTGAATTTTACTCCAATGAATGAAATTCTACTAACTCTGTCCCATTAACCAGTGATGCCTACAGCATTCTTTCATTAATGGTTTTATATTTAGTATCAGTTTGTACCACAAAGCATGTTTTATAGACTGGTATTTTATAGTAATTATATCAAAGAAGGCAGTTTTCATAATCAAAATTTCTAAAGCTTAATACCAGTTTTAAGATCTACCCACATTATAACCCCCTGACAGACAGAGAAGGACAGCAGATCATTTCCAAAGACAGTCTTAAGAGAAGCAAACTGGGCTGGAGAGATGGCTCAGAGGTTAAGAGCACTGGCTGATCTTCTAGAGGTCCTGAGTTCAATTCCCAGCAACCACATGGTGGCTCACAACCGTCTATAATGAGATCTGGTGCCCTCTTCTGGCATGCAGGCAGAACACTGTATACATAATAAATAAATAAACCTAAAAGAGAGAGAAAGAAAGTGAGAGAAAGAGAGAGAGAGAGAGAGAGAGAGAGAGAGAGAGAGAGAAACTCAAAATGCTAATTAATCAAGTAAGAAAAAAAAATCACATAAACCCAAATTTAAGAACATTCTTCAATAATCATAATCAATCAAAACCCTTTAAAAACATGAAGAAGAGACCAAGGACCAGAACAGGGACCGGAGATAACAACGAAACACACTGTAGAACAGAGAGGGACCGTTGGGGTTGCAGGTGTAGTCTATGGTAAGGCACTTGCCTAGCATGGGAGAGGCCCTGGGCTCGATCCCCAGCACTGTCAAAGAGACAACAGAAAGAGAGGGTCATTAGTAAAGACTGAGACTTAGCGGGGGTGATTGCAATAGTGCTGATTCCCAAAGCGTGATGATTACACTGCAATCATGCAAGACATTAGCTAAGGGATACCAGGTAAAGGGTATACGGGACTGCAGTTTTTATAACTTCATTATAAATCTAAAATTAGTTTTATTTGGTCCTAAAATTTACCAGGTAACAATATGGCATCAAAACATTAAAGGACAGAATAAAGCAATAAATGAAGGAATGAATTTAGCAAACTATTTTTATTCCCCAAAAAGAAACTCTTTTCAAATTTTTCTTTGTGGAATGACTTTTTAGATTTAGATTTTCTAAGAAAAAACACATAACTATTCACCTACTCTACATGAATTAGTTTTTATTAAAACCACCTACAGTTTTCCCCCAGAAGTGTTTCATTTAAATGGACTCTTCAATCTGGTAACTGAAATCTTATTGAACTAATTTAAACATTTGCTATATGCAATTATCAAACCCCTTTAAAATTAAAAATGAAAATGACTTTAAAGACTTATTTCTAAAATCTACTTGTCAAAAAACAATACCATTCTAAAGATGAACTACAACATCTCTATAGAGAAAGAACAAGGGCATTTTAATACATTATATCTCACTTTTATTTACATTTTATTGGTAGAAACTCCATTAAGAATTTTGTAACTCAAAGAAAAAAAAAGAATTTCGTAACTCAATCTATGTCTATTTATTTCATTTATTATGAATGTGGTATTAGACTCCTATATTAACTATAATTGATCTTCTAATCTTTACATGTTAAATAGAGATTAGTCAAGCATTATTCAAATGTTAGCCATTGGTGCATGTGGCTATTTACATTGCTCAGTATTAATAAAATTAAACATTCACTTTTCAGTCTCCTTAGGCACACATCACACAGTCAATAGCCACAGCCGCACATGACTAGCGGTTGGCAGACACAGAACATGTAATTGTAGCAGAGGGCTCTGCTGGACATTGTCATCCAGAAGGAGCTCTATATTTGAACTAGGTTTTCAGTGTCTTCTGTTACAAGTTCAATAGTAGCCCCACAACCTAAATTTATATATTGAAGTCCTAACTCTTAGAATATCACAGTATGATTGTAGTTAGAGTTAGGTTTTTAGAGAAGAGGGTTAAATGAACTCTTTAGGGTGAAACTAATTCATATGACCAATGTACTTATTAGAAAAGTTATGACCATCTAAGTATATATTTAAAGTAGGTTAGCAACATTTTCCAATTTACCCTAGGATTTTCCAGTGTCTTGGTTAGGGTTTCTATTCCTGCAATGAAGTACCATGGCCAGAAGCAAGCTGGGGAGGAAAGGGTTTATTTGGCTTGCACTTTTACATCATAGTCCATCCCTGAAGGAAGTCAGGGCAGGAACTCATGCAGGGTGGCAACCTGGAGGCAGGAACTGATTGTTCTGCTCACTGGCCTGCTTCCCCATGGTCTGCACAGCCTGCTTTCTTACATAACCCAGGACCACAGCCCAGGGATGGCACCCCCGAAATGGGCTGGGCCCTCCCCCATCAACCATTAATCAAGAAAATGCTCCACAGGTTTGCCTAAGGCTGATCTTAATGAGACATTTTCTCAGCTGAGGTTCCCTCCTCTCAGATCACTCAGTGTGTGTCAAGCTGACATCAAACTATTCAGCACATCCAGTATCTTCAAATTTGCTTGTTAGATTAAGGAGGCTTGAGTTTAAGACATAACCCTAAACGTCCAGTATACTGTGGTTAAATCCAGGTCAATGTATTCATTTTCTATGCCAACAAAGTAATCATACAATTTCACGTATGGAATGATATTTGTTTGTGAGCAAGAAGGCTGTTAAAAAGCATTTCTAAGACTCGTAGGAGGCACGAGGGAGGGGCTATACTCTCCTGCAAGCTCTTTACCACAATCTTCTGCCAGAAGCAGCATGAGTGAATGATTGGGAGCAAAGAGGGAGACAAGAGAGGCCTGGATGAAGGGAGATACCCTCACTGTGTGAAGGCTGTAGAGCCTACCTAGGCTTAGTCTACTAGAAAAGGATAATCTCAAACTGTCCCCCTATTTCTCTGGACACAGGAGATGAACTAGTACAGTTGGGAAACAAGAGAATAAACCTCTATACCCTAGGAAGAGCAGAAAACAGTCCAGGATTTGGGTCTCCAATATCTGTGAGGGGGGGTAAGAAACTCCTGTAGAAGACCCTCAAATAAACAAGATGGCATTTACCTGCTACCAGAAGGTAGCTGGGTCCTTACCATCACGCTGACAGCAACTTCCCATTGTGAAAGGGATAAAGTATAAGACAACCCAAAAGCTAGGGACGTATCCGGAACTGTGGGAAAAATCTCTCCAGCAAGTCAGCATTGACCCTAAGCACAAGATAATACTACAAGTGGGTTAATAGTTAACCAAACAAAAACCTAGTTTAACCCTTGAGTAGAATGACTTACTTAACTCCTACGCGAACATGAGAAAGAGTATAGGAGCACATAGAGTAGCTGGCCTTCCATATGGATTCCACATCTGTGGACTCAATCAACTACTGGCTGAAAAGATTCGGGAAAACGTGTTTTGTCTGTACTGAACGTAAACAGACTTTTCCTTATCAACAAAACACTAGCTATTTATACAGCATATATACTGCATCAGTCTACTTCTAGAGGTCAGGTGTACGGTAGGATATACATGCAAACACTATGCCACCTGACACAAGGGACTTGAGGACCCACAGATCTGGGTACTGACAGCGGGCCCTGGACCCAATCCCCTCTGGATAAAGGGACAACTACTACAGCCGCTGCTGTCTTCCTGTAGTGTTTGACATTCAGTAAGTTGCAGTGTGCACCAAAGAGCAACCTGCAGCCAGTGTCAAAAGAGAAAGCAATCCCGGCTTCCGACTCGGAGACGCAGGGCACACACACTAAGCCAGGAAGGCAAACAGCCCTCCGAGGCTTTCCTCGGAAAGAGACATCAAGCTTGATCAGATTGTGAATTTCAACAGAGAAATGGAAACTACAAGCAGGAATCAAAAGACAGTGTCAGAAATAACACAATAGAGATAAAGAATGTTTTTGACAGATTCAGGGAATTTGACATAACTGCAGGAAATGATTAGAAATCAGTCAAAGTGAAACACAGAGAAAAAGGAGCCCAAAAACCATTCGGACTAATATCAAACTACCTAATAAAATGAGCTACTGTACTATAGAAGAGGGCTGAAGAAATATTTCAAGACATAAAGGCCGAAAAATAAAATACCCACTCTCATAACAGGGTTAGTCACAGCAGTCAGAAGGTAGAAGTAACCCTGTGTCCTTCTGTGGTTGGCTGGACCAGCAAAATAAAGTATGTAGTCCATGTAAGAGAGGGAAATTCTGAACGTACTGTAACACAGATGAACCTCAAGGAAATCATGTTACATGTGAAAGGCCAGCCCTCAAAGACAAATACTGCATGCCTTCACTCATGTTTGAGGCTCACAGCCAAGACCAGGGAACAGAAAATGCTGTCAAAGGGTAAGGAGTTACCTAGTGAGTTCTGCATATCAGGTCTGCAAAGTGAAAAATAAATCACAGAAGGACAGTGGGATCAACTACAAAAGGGCGTGGAGAATAGAGAACAGAGAGCCTGTTACCTGTGTTTGTAGCTTTACAAGTATACAAACTCTGAAAATGGATACAAATTCACACATTAGAAAGGGGGATGCCCCTGGTGTAGCCCCTTTAATAAAGTAAGGTTACTACCAAAAACACAATAAAAACCTTTCTGTGTGCTTTTGTGTGTTCTTCCTGTGACTGTACGATGACAGATGATTGGAGGAGTTGGAAAGACTTTCTTCAGCTTGGTAGAACTGTCTCAGAACCACTCTACGAGCTCTGCTTTCTCGGCATGGGAAGAGACTGGGTGGGTAGGAAGCAGACCAGTGCTACAGGGTAAGAAAAGGAGGTGTACGGGCCACTGGAGACGGGGGTAAGAAACAGCCGGGGGAGGAGGATGAAAGCAGCAGGGCTGTGCAAAGGACAAGTGACACACGCAAGGCACAAAGAGCAGGTGCCTGGGGTGGCAGGAAACGGAAACAAGGTCGCAGGAACAGGACAGTGAAAGTTGAAGATACCCAGGCTCCTAATACACTTCTTATTTCCGTGAGGACGCCTTGAGTCCCAACGTACTAAGGAGTGAGCCCTGACATGGTCAAGCTGTGTTAGGGATTTTCACTAATCTTTTATTACTCTTCAGAGCCCCCAAACACAGTACAGTGCACAAGGCCGCAGTCTGCCAGATCAAAGACTTACATAGCCTGGAATGAACACTATAGGGAAGCAGTTTAGTAGTAAGTTTTTGTTTTTTGTTTTTTCGAGACAGGGTTTCTCTGTGTAGCTTTGGAGTCTTTCCTGGAACTCACTCTGTAGCCCAGGCTGGCCTTGAACTCTGCCTGCCTCTACCAGGCTGGGATTAAAGGCGAGCGCCGCCGCCACCCAGCTAGTATTAAGTTTTTACGTCTTTACATTTTCTTCTTTATTTTATTGTCTCATGTGCAGGATACATGTACATCTGTGCACCATTTACACGAAGTCCCCAAGGAAGCCAGAGGAGGTGTTGGATCCCCTGGAACTGGAATTACAGAGTGCCACCATATGGGTGTTAAGAATCAAGCCAGGGTCCTCTGAAGAGCAGCCCGTGCTCTTAACTACCCAGTCATAGCTCCAGCCCGTGTCTGTATTTTCTCTCACTGATTAAAAGGTAAATGATGCATGATCTAAAAGTCATTTGCCGATTACCCAAATTTATTACGTGGGAAATCTGAGTTGTTCAGAGAACATTCCTATTTCATCTACTTTGAGCTGTTCCTTGGGTCATATTTCTAAAGCACAGTGAAATACAATTTAGCGTGTGTGCTTATCAATCTTCATTGTTTACCTCCTGTGGCTGTATGCATATTCCTTTGGCTACCAAGTA